TTCTTTTTCAATAGTGAATTTAATTGTTGGTTCTTTATTATTCAGATAAGATAAAAATTCATCAAGTTTTTGTTCGCCATGACTGTAAATGGAGAGTACGTCATCAATATAACGCCACCAAATTATTGGCTTAAATTTGTAATTATTAATGAAAGTTGATTCAAAATTTTCCATAAATAAATTACTAAAAAATGGTGATAGTGGTGACCCCATAGCCATTCCAAAATTTTGTTGATAAAAATTGTCATTGTTTTGAAAGTAAGTTGACTTTACACATATTGTTAAAAGTTCAATAATGGTGTTAATGAAGAAATTCTGTCTTTTTTAAAGACAAAAATTTTTGAGGTGAAATACCCAAAAAAAAGTTTGTAAAAAAATGAATCCGCCTCAACAATATAGAACTTATTCACGTTTATATTGTTTTTTCAATACTCTCCAAAGTTTACCTTCGCTTTGTTCTTCCGATTCAAGGATTCGATTCTCTCAATTCTATGGAGTGAAAAGTTCCATTGTCTCCAAATCTTTGGATACTTTTAAAACCTTTCCATTGGTAAATCTGATGTAATTTCCGGAAATAATTGAACTTATTACATTCCAGCTATGTAGATGAATTGAACCACGCAATAGGAATCTCCTATCACAAACCCAACAAGTGTGTGATTTTCCAAAGAAGGGGCGTTTTCATTGCGGAATTAGAGCCTGAACGCGACATTGACTGGGAAGAAGCGATAAAAAACGTCGAAAGTGTCCCATGCGTCCCTGTTGAAGCAAACGAGCCGCTCTATATATTGTACACTTCTGGAACAACAGGTGCTGCCTATTAAGTGACTAGGAAAGATTCTATATAGTTTTGTTCCTCAGGAGAACCCAAGGGAGTTCAAAGGCCAGTAGGGGGACATTTAGCTACTTTGGCCTACACTATGAAGACCTTATATGCCATGGGGCCTAATGATGTTTGGTGGTCAACCAGCGATTTTGGTTGGGTTGTTGGCCATTCCTACATGTGTTACGGCCCGCTGGTTTACGGAATTACCAGTATAATTTACGAAGGAAAACCCACCACCACTCCTGATCCCAGTTCCTACTATAGGTAAATTGATGTCGATTTTAACTGGATTTAAGTACACACTAAATGGGCTTTCAGAATTATTAGCGAGTACAAAGTCAATGCCATGTTCACGGTGCCAACAGCACTGCGGATTCTTAGAGAAGTGGATCCGGAGGCTAAATTTGGGGCAGAGTACGATATTTCCAGCTTAAGACAAGTAAGCAACAAGACTTGAGAGCGTGGTTAAATAATCTAAGCTTTTTTGCTCCTTTTTACTGCCATTACGATGTGGTTTTCAATAATAGAAAAACCTTCAAGAGAATTGCATAATTCACTTTATGCAGAAAGTTTCCTAGCTGCATATAGACAATGCATGTGTGCATTCTAGGAAGAAAATTAGGTCAATTTTATGAATTATTTAGTATGATATTGCATAAGTTTAGCTAGTTTGTCAACCAAGTATTTTTCCTCGAGTTTATTATTAGATATTCAGCTCAACAGATTAAAGTCAATCGACGCTAAGTCTGGAAAGACGGGTGGCTTTTAAACACTTTTCCAGTCCACTTCAGCCAACTTATCGCGACTTAACCGAGTCATGTGCGGGTTTGAGTTTGTGTGTGGAGGAAAAATCACGCAAATTTGTGAAATTTTCTCGTAAAACCCGTGTCGTACAAACAATAAAATACTATAAAATTCCCTTTGATACTTTCCTGTAAATCAGGTGTCTTGTTTGGAAGTTAAAACGGTTAAAAATATTACTTAAAAAATCAAATAAAAAAGAAAAATCCGGAACAAAACAGTTCATTACACATCAAAAGTTATTGAAATGAACAAATAAAACTGATTATAATTTCGGGCTGTAGCGGAAAATATTTTTTTCAAAAATACGCAAGAAGACGAAATCTGCTAACAAATCTAATTGACTAACGATAATTTAACACCGTTAAAAAAGAAAAATGACTTACAGATCTGGGTAGCTGGAGAACATCTGGATATGTCGGCGAAATTGTGGGCAGAAAAATTCTTTAGTGTTCCGGTCATCAACCATTGGTGGCAAACTGAAACTGGCTCTGCCATTTCTGGGACGTGCGTCGGCTTAAAGAATCCCTGCCACGACAGCAAACTTACCACCGGCTTACCTTTTCCTGGATACAACGGTAAATATTCACTGAAGTCAGAAACAACACGAATGTTGCAGTGTTTTGATCGATTTTTGTGTTGGTTCTAAGAAAACTGTCTTAGTTCAAGTGCTGCTGAAAGATGGAAGTTTAGCCGATGTGAACGAGCTGGGCAGAATCGTTGTAAAGCTGCCTTTGCCGCCTGGAACTCTCACCACACTGTACAAAGCAGACGATCGGTTCCACAAGACTTACTTCACTAGGCACTCAGTAATAAACTTTCCTAATATCTAAGAAGCAAATGATTCATCCTTGCGGAATCTTAGGGCTTTTATGACACAATGGACGCGGGCTTTGTAGACGAAAACGGTCTGGTCTATGTAACTGCCAGAGCAGACGATATAATCAATGTGGCTGGACATCGGCTATCCACTTTAGCCATAGAAAACATCGTGCTTTCCCATCCAGACATATGCAATGCTTGTGTGGTTTCAGTGCCCGACAAAATCAAAAGCGAAGTGCCGTTGTGCTTGTTTGTAATGAAAGAAGGTTGGTCATTTTCGCTCGAATTAATCCCTTTGAGGTTGATTTAATGTTGTTCGAAGATGCGATTCTGAATGAGTACTTGATTGCCCAAGAATTGATCGCTTTGGTGAGGGAACATATGGGACCAGTGGCTTCATTCCGGCTGGCTGTTGGAGTGAAGGCGCTTCCCACCACTAGATCTGGGAAATTATGCCGCAAATCCATTGCTGATTTAGCGCGCAACAAAATGAAGAAGGTACTCAACGCAAAAAAACACTACCGTCTGGACAGTTTTGCTTGTTTGCAGGTACCCAGTACTGTCATGGATCCAACAGTTTACAAGGAAATCGAAGAAGCTCTTCGGAAGATTGGATTTTGTTAGTTCTACCGGTACTGGCTACATGGCAGTTTATAAAAAAGCTGTTAATAAAATGTTGATGCGTAACTGAAAGGAGCCATGACTAATGAAAACTTCAGGACTTTTCTGCCGATCAGTAAAACATGTCTTGCCTTGAAAAAATCGATTTTATTCAATATCCCGAATGAATAATCAACATAAGGAATCTCTACTATTAACAAAAACAATAAAACAATTGCTCTTAGGCTCGACTTTATAAACAGTATAAACAGCATTTGCCAATTACATCAACACTCAATAATGCACAATTGAAGACCGTTAACGTCTCCTTTATAATACAGATAAGCACTTACCCGTACGTAAGCCATTTATTCAGCAAATTTATAAACCCGGGCCTTAAAAACAACGCGCCTTGAAACTAGTAGTCATCTCCACGTGAAACGATTTCTTTGCAGGTTGGACGTAGGATGATGGTGTGCTCAAACTGAGCAGTGTAACAGCCCTTAATGTCGCAAAGCGGCGGATAGTCATCGACAATCCTCTTGTCACAAAGATCTTTTAGCGCCATTTGATATTTAGTGGCACCAGCACGATCTAACCATCTTTTGCAAAAAGCAAGCGTCCCGAAGTTTTTGTTAATTATATTCAGTAGCGCCTTAGAAGATTGCAACCTAGAAAAACAATGGGTAAAATATTAGTAATTTTAACAGCAGTGTAGGTGAGTTTTTCGGACTCTAAAAACTTCCTGGTTTTCACCAGAACTCACCTAAGTGGAACATACGGAACATCGAAGTTCTTCATATAATGGGAACAATCCATGTCATCGTGAACGACTCCTTTGCCAGTGGAACCAAAAGTTTCAATGGCATAGAACTCGTTTTCTTCCATAACAGTGGCCTCCCCACCTTTAACGATCGGGACAGTTTTTCCCGCATGTATTCCTGAAAAGTGTGAACGATTATCACGCGAATGTACTTCGCAACTGTCGCTAAGGGGAAGTTTTGTGCGGAAATCGGCTACTTACTGTATGGTGAAATCGAGTGACCATTCAGATTTCTAATGGACTTTATCTGATAGGTTTTTCCATCTAAGTCGATTTCATACGATTCCATAACTTCCTGAATTTGAGCCCCGATTTCGCACAGCTGAACGTCAATACCTAAACCATCAATAATTAAAACCCAAGTTCACTTTGTTATTTTTTTCAATGTCTTCACCTGCTGCTCTGATTCCCGTGTTAGTGGCATCCCTAACAGCCTCCACCAGCTTATCGTATTTGGGATTGAACGTGTGTGTAAAGGCGCAGTCAATAATGCGACCATTAATGTGAGTTCCAAAGTCGATTTTCACCACATCATCATACTCCAACACGGTTTCATCGCCAGCATTTGGTGTATAATGGGCGGCACAATGATTCCTTGAGCATCCAGTTGGAAAAGCTAAGCCAGCTTTCAAGCCTTCTTCTGCGATCAACTTGCGAGCAGTGTTTTCAAGCTCCTCGCAAATTTCGATCATCTTCATGCCAGGCTTGATCCAGTTCTGGATATGCTTTCTAGTCTGGAACAATACAGAAATAAACGAATATTTTTACTGTAATAACAGAAAGCATGTGCTGTTAAGCAAAGCATAACAAAATATAAAATAAACAACAAAATATGTGAGCAGTTGAATTGCTCTGAATTCACATTTTGCAAAATATAAAATCCTGTTAAGTAAGTCTTTTTCCAAAGGGGCACTAAAAATCTGCCATTTAAGAGGCCTATCCACAACATATCAAGCTATAAAAGTTCCAAAGCTTTATAAGAAAAATTGGCAAGACTCATAAATGAGCGCGTGCCAAAATCCAGACAAGTTTCCCGTCGCTTTAATGCTGCAAGCAAAGGAAAGCAATCACCAATTATTTCGTGGCTCGAATCTCGATCTGCCATTTAAGCAGACTTTGCCCAACATATTAAGCTTCAAAAGTTAAAATTTTCATGGAAATCAAGCAAACTACTAATCGGAAAAATTTTGTCAAAATCAAGGTCCACTGCTCTAGCTCTGGGAGCAAAGAAGAATTCCTAAATTATGGCTTAGTTTGAATGTGAGTCTGCCATTTAGCCAGTCCGTACAGAAAAGATTCAAATAGTTGAACATTTCAAAAAAATCGACTAAAACGACTGCATTTAATTTAATATAAAAAGTATCTGAAATTCGTCTCATCATCTTATTTGTTTATCTTTGTTTTGTTTACGGCGATCATCCAAACAAGTTGAAATGCTAAAATTTTGCGAAACAGGCGCTTTCTACAAAATTGTCAACAATGAAAAAACTGAAATCGAACTGCATAGCAAAGCAATGAAATCATCCGAAGGGCGAGCAAGCAAACGATTATATTGTATAATCATGTTGGGTCTGTATATCGCCTAGTTTTTTCGGAAAGCCGCAGGAATATTCAGTGTATTTCGGGCAATGGACAAAATAAGTCGCTGGTCTTTCGTGTCGTGCGAATCGGGTTCTTAGATAGGAAATATAGAATATTTGTGGCCCTTATGGTAAGTGCAGTAGTTTATTCTACATGCTAAGTCCAGAATTAAAGTTTTCAATTCGGAATGCGTGTTTATTGTGTGATCAAGTGTAGTTTCACCTTTTTGCGGATTAAATGGGTAGAAAATGGAGGATGGGTGCCAGCTTGCAGAAAGCTGGTTAGAATGTTTTTAATCTTTATCTTGGCTTGAACTCTGTTTAGTTTTTCAAAAAGCAACTGAAGTTGGTGATGGATTCTTTATATTTATCGCTCTTGATTATCTGATGATCTGTGATCTGATTTTCTCCAGTACACTGTTTTAATATGTAAAATGGGAGTGTTCTACTGTGAACTTTTCTTTTATAGCATTAATGCTGCTTGCATGTGCAGGTTTGTGGATGTATGCACCAATTTTTTCTAAAGAAGCAGTTGGAACCAAGACTTTATTGTCCCAGTTTGATTTCGGTTAATTCAGAGTGTTAAAAGAATTGAAATTGATAAAACTGTTTTTTTTTTCAAATGCAAACCTTAGTTTCCAATTATTTTATCTGATTTAATATTTCAAATAACAGTAATTTTGTATAAAGTTCACCAAGAAAAGTTGTTGGTAAACTGATTATTTATAAAGTTAACATATTTTAAACCTCGCGCGCATGGACCTGATCACTTATAGTATCTGTTATGAATCATCCTGATCCCTAATGGAGTTTGAGCGTCTACAGGTTGTGAATTTGAAGGAGACAAACACCACAATTTCTTGAAGGTATTTTGCAAATATTTACCTGTCGGTGAGCTTCAGCTGCCAATCGCACTTCATTGTAAATATCGTTTTGCATTCGATCTAGTGCTTTCTTTTCCTCCGAAGAAAACCGGTCCTTTGCCGTACGGTCATCGTTAACCAACGGATATTCCTGGATTTCTCCTATCGGAAAGGCCCCATCCGGAAATAGATCGACAATGGCCACGGAAGGGGGATTGGTTTGAGTGAGCTTGCCCCCCTTCTTTCTATTTCGCTTTTTCTTCTTTTTTTCGCCTTCAGCATTGTCCTCCGCCGTTGCCTCCTTGGCCCCATTCTCTTGGGGGCGTGCCTCGACTTGTGGGGCCGCATCACCTTGAATCAAGGCTCCATTTCCTACCAACGCATTGAAGATAGTAAACACCTCGCTAACCTCACAAGGTCGCTTATTCATACGCACCTGACGCCTTTTTCTTCTTTTTCTTTTTGTTTTTCTTCACACTTTCGGGCGCAGTTTCTACATCCTCAATTTCCACTCCATTCCCGTTTTCTTCCTCATGTTCCGGCTCCGGAATTTGAGTTTTTAAGGCCGCCATTTCTCGACGCGCCACAGATCACAGGTAATAGATTGACATATGTCATTCGAACCTGTAGAATGCTGTCAGCCGCGTATTCTAGGGGGTACGACTAGAACTAGACTCAAATTCCCACCCCGTGTGAGAATTTTTGCTGATTGTGTTTAGCGGGAGATTTAAATTTTTTGTAATTCTTTACGATTCAGTGTGCTGTGGCACGCGCACATGCCCGTACGCCCGATACGCGCAGCCAAAAATGGCATACTGGTCGTCAGCCATGTTGCCGAACTGCCACCAAAGTAGAAAATCGCAATCAAAACAAAAAAGGCATTCATTTTAGGTTCAAAACTTAACGTCCATACAGGAAATAGTAGACGACACTGATAAGCTCATACATATGATTGTTCGCTTAATTTAGCCGGGGCCGAGCAGATTGAACCTGAGCGGTTTGAAATATCAAATTAATTATGTATGCATGCAAAGAAAATAAAATAATCGGTTATTTTCTCAATAAAGTATTTTCAGCTTGGGCTTCTCTATGGATGTCTATGAACGCGTGTGAGATCTTAATCGGTTAATTGGAATTATAATCAGAATCGGAAAAGTAGTGAAAATATATCATCTGGGAATTACTAATTATTATCTATTTTATATTAAATAATCATGGATTTTAAATGATTTATGTACATGAAAAGGTCAAGGAAGTGGTAATGTTGAGAAAGTGCTAATATAGTACTGGCAACTACGCGAAAAATTTCGACTGGCACGCCGGCGCAAAGAGCTGAACCATCACGACGACCGTTGTTTTGTTTTGAAAATTGGTGAATTTCAGAGGGAGAACTCATTTTTCCAAAAAATCGAACCCCACCCTTGGAAAAATTTGGGCCAAAAATCAAAATTTCACATGTGTGTTTTTTGAGTTCAAACGGTTCCTTTCGACGTAAGAAGTTCAGAAATATGCATTTATAAAGTGTTTGGATCAAAAATGAGGAAGAAATCGTCGGCTAAAGATCGTGAWCGCTCAAAAAATGCCTTAAAGTGGGCCGAAAATGTCTATTATTTCAGATCTGAAACTTCTACCAAGCTTTTTAATGAGTTCGATGCATTGTTCGCGTCCGTAAGCTGAAAATGACGTAAAATTTGCGACAATTTGAGAAAATTTTAATTTTTTTAAAAAATCGACCCCCACCATTGAAAAAATTTCAGCCAACAATCAAAATTTCACATATGTGTTTTTTGAGCTCAAACGGTTCCTTTCGACGTAAGAAGTTCAGAAATATGCATTTATAAAGTAGTTGGATCAAAAATGAGTGTGCCATAATGTCCATTTTTAGACTAACATTCATCAAGTCCGCAAAAATCAGGCTTGAGTGCGATCTGAATGTAATTCTCGGAAACTGCAGATTTGAATGTCTTCTATGGCCGGTAAAAATATCGAACTGCTTCTTACAATGGATTAGAAGTTGGAGTATTTTAACGGAGATCGTGCAGTTGTGCCAAATTGTCTCTTTTTAATCCAACATTCATGAAGTCCGCAAAAATGAGGCTTTAGTGCGATCTGAACGCAATTCGCAGAAACCGAAGTTTCAATTTCAAATGTCTTCTACAGATAATTTTCTTTTAATTCAATTTAAATAGAAACGTTTTTTCTCAATGTAGAAAATTAAAAAATCAGTCTTCAACTCAAGTAGACAACTTTTAAAGGCACATCCTACTACTAAGTGGATTAATTATTATCGTTACTATCTTCTGAAATTAATTCAACATTCAAATTATCAAAAACATACTGGTTTTGAATTTTTAAGGTCTCTTCAGGCAGTTCTCCGCGTTCATTGCGCTGTATCCATTGAAAGTACTGTTTCGCTCTTCCGATCCTATCCGGGCTCAAAATTGCTGAAGCAATATCGAACGCGTAACTATCCGATACTCCTAAAAATCATCCATTTTTCGAAAGCACTTTTAACACTATTGGAATATCACCTGCAGCCATTTTATGCAGGAAGCAAAAAGTTCCGTTCTCGACCGTATGGTTCATCTTCAGGTACTCCAGGTACTGGGACTCGGGCAGCATAGTAGATATTCTCTGAAAATGGGTGGAAACCAGAATATGTGGACACAGTTCGCCCTTGGATAGGAAATGGTTTAAAAACGACACCAAGAGTATCAGACCATCATCCTCTAAAGTACCGCGGCCAAATTCGTCCATTATTATTAGCGAGCTGGGCGAAGCACAGTGGATAACTTGCGAAGTCTGAAAAAGACTACAATTTTGAAATATTCTACTTGGTATAGCGGACTTGCCTGGGTCACATCCATCATAAAAGACGACAGTCGAACAACAGCCGATTCTTTAGTCTGAATCAGACAATGCATGCTATCCACAAGACCAATATTGGCTTTCTTTGCCGGTATATAACAACCCACATGAGCCAAATAAACCGCCAGCAAAATCTGCTTGAGAAATATGCTCTTTCCACTGCCATTTGCACCAGTGATGATCTTCATGTGGCTGTGCAAACCTCCAGACTTAAAATCGTTGGCCTCAAAGCTGTTTAAAATTTGCTCCATCAGCGGATGTCGGCATTCCTCAATCTCCTGGATGCGAAGATCGTTTAATTCTGGCTTCACATAGTTGTTCTGTTGGGACACTTTTGCCATTGCAATTAAGCTAGAAGAAATCTGGCATTTCACCAAACACTCCCAGTAAACTAACTTACCAGTCGATGATCGCAACTGCTTTTAAAGCCTGCCTTATATCCTTGTTGTACTTCAAAGTAAACGCTGAAAGTCTTCTAAGGATGCGGTTTTCGTGATCAATGATTTCAGCGTTAATGTCGCCCAATCTTTTATCCAATTCTGCAAGAGAATTATGTACCAAATTGCTCGTTTAATGTGAGTAGACATTTAAACTCACCTACACATAGAGGATTCTTGTAATGCAGCACGCCACCAAGCGCAAACTGCAAGCAAAATTGATTTCCTTTATGAAAATCTTATTGAGATATTCGGTGGACAATTTGTACCATGAATTGATAGCCCAAACTTTCCAATTGCTCTGGATCACAGTCTGGTTCCCATCGCTTGATCACCATCAGATGTCCCATTTCCGGTAAGTAGACCACTTTACATTCGTCGATGAAATCCGGTAAGTCGTTGGCTGCAAAGCGAGCCGCTGCAGTTACATGCTTGGACACGTCCTGCTGGTGCAGCAATTCTATATGGAATAAGAGGAAATAAAACAGAAAAAGGCGGTAAAAGTTCGTACTGGCATCCAGATTTTCGTCTAGTCCAAACTTGATTACTGGCCGCCCCTTTTTGTTGCCAGCATTAAAATCCAATGCGTTACTTATGGATTCCTCCAATCCCAGTAGATTATTAGTGACGGCTTGGTCCAGTTCGGCCAGTAGCTCAGATTTGCCTCTGTACCCTTTGCTAATGTCGTTGATGAAAATCGTATGATAAATCATCTGCAAAACTCAGGATTAGGGAAATAAATGAAAGCGGGTGTGGGCGCTTGCTTTATGCAACATCTTCCAGTCCTTATTAGAGGCTCGCGCGTTCAGGATTTTACCCAGAATTGCACTGACATGGACAACATTCTGGAATTGCTTGATATTGTCGTGAATACTAGCAATGAAATCCAAATTGACCGGCTGCTGCACAAACTTTATGAAACTGAGCCGTTTTTCTAGCTCCCTGCGGTCATTGATGGGCGACAATAGAAGATTTCTGGAAGACACAATCAGGAAACAACAAATCTGCTAAAGTAGAGCTTTCTCACCTCAATTCGGTTTGTCCCATTCTTGATTTGCAACTGGACATGAACAGTCTATAAACGCTCAAACCTTCTCGGCTGCTGGAATCTTGACCGCGCTTAAAACCAGCATCGTGCGATTTTTGCGAGAAAATTTGCAAGGCCTTGAATGTGTGGTTGTCCAACAGAACATGATTTTTCCTGAAAAACTCGACGTTCTACAATCAGTTGCTTAAAAAATTGCGCTCTTGATTTTGTGGTGAAGACAACAAACTGTTTTCTGCACAACTTACCATCAAATTTTTTACGCACGAAATAATAGTCAAAAATCAAGAGCAATCCAAACAATTCAAATCGGTTAATTGGTTTTAAAGTGAGAAAACTTGGAACTGTGAGTGTGAAAAGTTAGTGTTTTATTGCCCCCCATGGCTTAGAACACAGGGGCGGATCCAGCTTTAAGGCAGGGGGGGGGGTTCTGTAGAAAAAATACAGTCTTCTGTTATCTATGAAACTAGAAAAATGATCGTCGTTTTGTGCAAGGGTGGCGCTAGATTATGCCAAAATTTCATGTTTTCCGTCCCATTTTTGCGCATTTCTCGGAGGCAAAATGAGCAAGAACGCTCATTTGTACATCATTCTAGACAGAAATAAAT